ATGAATACATAGCTGAAATAAGATCTAGGTTCGATAAGAATGAATTTTCTGATTCGATGTTTGAGCTCGCTAGCCTTAAGCAGACTAACATAGTTGAGGAATATTATGATGAATTTGAAGGGTTGTTGAACATGATCCAAATTTCTGATGAACATGCTCTTAGCATTTTCATCAGTAACTTAAACCCAGACATTTCCAAACCAGTTAGAATGTTTTACCCAAAAAACCTAACCCATGCCTATAACCTTGCCAAACAAATGGAGTCTCTTATCTTTAATTTACCCGGAAAACCTTCAGTACCTTATAAAAACCTTTCCACAGCTTTTCTCTCACAGCCCTATGCAGCACATCTCACTGATCCAGCAACTTACGCTTACTACTTACCCCTAAAACTTCCTTCTTGACTCATAACTCCCCACTCAAATATTCTACTCCTATAAATACTTACAAGGCCCCAAATATCAAACCTGACAGCAGCCAACTCAAAGGCAACAAGTTACCTACTAAGAAGGAACGGGATGACAGGAGAAATAAGGGGTTGTGTATATGGTGCAGAGTTAAATTTGTTCTAGGCCATAGGTGTTTGAGGTCATAGTTATACCAGCTACTGGTTGATGAAAGTGCTGATTCAACTAATGAGGTAGATGAGTTTTCAAATTGTCTAGAATTTTTGGAAGAACTAATGCTGAAAAGGCTGAAGGATTACACCGACCCACCGTTTCTTTACATGCCTTAATTGGTATTGCTGGTCCTCAAACTATGAGGATTCAGGGAAAGATAAAAAAATTAGCTAGTGGTGATTTTGGTAGACTGGGGCAGCACTCACAATTTCCTAGATCAGAATGTGGCAAAGAAGTTAGGTTGTAAGGCTACAGTAGTGGAAGGAATCCAAGCTACTGTAGCTAATAGGGATTAATTGATAGCGAAGCAATTTTGCAAGGGACTTCAATGGCAAGCTCAGGGACTACTACAATGCACCGATTTCCTCATTTTACCACTTATGGGGTGTGACATGGTGCTCGGGATACAATGGCTGAGAACTTTAAGCCCTATCATATGGAACTTCAAACACCTAACTATGCAGTTTGAATTAGAAGCTGGTTGGTATACTCTACAAAGGTTAGAAGCTGGTAAAATTCGAATGGTGTCCAACAAGCAAATAGCTAAGATGAACTTAGCCGGTAATAGTACTTGTTTGTTAATGTTAACAGGTGTTCACTCGACTCCAGCAGTAGCATATAGAAACAAAGAACGGGATACAGCTTCACTACCAGAAGAGTTGCAAGAACTACTTTCCAGGTTTGCTGCAGTTTTTAAGATACCAAAAGGGTTGCCTCTAAAAAGATTTCACAATTATAAGATTCCACTTAAGGATAAGACACAAGCTATTCGGTTGAGACCTTACAGATATCCAGTTATTCAGAATACTAAAATTGAAAGGTTGGTATATGAGATGAAAGAAGCAGGGATCATCAGGGATAGTATCAGTTCCTTTGCATTACCTATAGTTCTAGTCAAGAAGAAAGATGGCTCCTAGCGATTATGTGTTGACTACAGACAGCTCAACAAGTTTACAATAAAGGATAAATTTCCAATTCCTTTGGTGGATAAACTTTTGGATGAATTGACTGGTGCTAGTTGGTTTGCTACAAAACTGCTTTTAAGGCCTATCATGGACACTATGAATTTCTGGTAATGCCCTTTGGTTTCACTGATGGCCTTTCCACTTTTTAGAGTCTTATGAACAGCATGTTTCAGTCCTATTTAAGGAAGTTTGTGCTTTGTTTTATGATATTCTAGTTTATTCTGTCAATTGGGAGAACCATTTGCTGCATTTATAATTGGTGTTCGAAATATTAGAGGAGAGTCAGCTTTATGTAAAGCTGTCTAAAGGTGAATTTTGTGCTTTAGAAATTGAATACTTAAGGCATGTTATAAGCAGGCAAGAGGTGGAAAGAAGGTTGTTAGCGTGAAAAACTGGCCAGTCCCACAAAATGTTAAGGAGTTAAGGGGTTTTTGGGATTGACAGGCTACTATAGAAGGTTTGTGAAAGACTATGGTGCTATTGCTAAACCATTGACTGAATTACTGAAAAAGAATGCCTTTGCGTGGAATGAGGCGGCCACTACTACATTTGAAAAGCTTAAACAAGCTATGGTAACTGCTCTTGTTTTAGCTCTCCCAAATTTCAACTCTACCTTTGTTGTAGAGTCAGATGCTTCTAAAATAGGCATTGAAGTTGTGCTTAGTCAGAAAGGTAGACCGGTAGCTGACTTCAGCAAGGCACTCTCCCCTAAGCATCAGTTGCTTTCAGTCTATGAGAAGGAAATGTTGGCTGTCTTGAAAGCTGTCAAGAAATGGAACTCCTATCTAATGGCAGGCATTTTCAAATTAAAATTGATCATCACAGTCTTAAATTCTTGCTTGATCAGGAAATTAACACTCCGGCTCAACATGTATGGGTGACTTGAATGATGGGTTACGATTTTGAGGTGATTTTTAGAAAAGAAGCTAGCAATAAAGTGGCGGATGCATTGTTAAGAAAGCCTACAGCCCAGCTTTGTGCTATCACTGTGATTAACAGTGATCTTATGACTAGAATCAAACATTCTTGGGTAGAAAACTCTACTATGGTTAGATTGATCCACAAGGCGCAGCATGATCAGAACAGCAAGTATACCTGGCAACATGGTCAGTTGAGCAAGAAAGGCAAATTGGTGATTGGTGCAAATGCTAAACTAAGGATGGATTTACTTAAGTATTTCCACAACTCAACAACCGGGGGGCATTCGGTTATTGAGGTGACTATGAAGAGAATGTCCGGTGTGGTTTATTGGAAGGGCATGAAGAAAGAAATTAGACGGTTTGCTTGACAGTGTTCTATTTGTCAACAATATGAACCAGACAATGCTGTAACTCCGGGACTGTTACAACCATTACCAGTACCGGAGAAAATTTGGACTGATATATCCATGGATTTCATAGAAGGGTTGCCAAAATCTTGTGGTAAGAAGGTAATTATGGTGGTGGTAAATAGATTGTGCAAATATGCTCATTTTATTGCTCTCTCTCATCCCTACTCAGCGACTACTGTTTCGCAGTCTTATCTGGACAATGTTTACAAGTTACATGGAGTTCCAAATAGCGTTGTATCTGATAGGGATCGAGTTTTCACTAGTCTATTTTGGCAAGAGCTGTTTAAATTATTGGGTACTGAGCTAAAACTATCTTCCTCTTATCATCCTTAAATCGATGGCCAGTCAAAGGTGGTTAACAAATGTCTTGAAGCTTATCTTAGATGTATGACAAGGGAAAGGCCAAAGGACTGGTCTAAATGGATTCCACTGGCTGAGTGGTGGTATAACACCGGCCATCATTCTTCAATTCAGACTACTCCCTATGAAGTAGTATATGAACAGCCTGTACCAATACATATGCCTTATTTGCCAGGAGACTCTAAGGTGGGTGAGGTAAACAGGAGTTTAGAGGCCCAAAAGGTAACTATCCAACTTTTGAAATTTCATTTGAATCAAGCCAAGAACAGAATGAAGCAATAGGCGGACCAGCACAGAACTGACAGACAACACCAAGTTGGAGATTATGTGTACGTAAAATTGCAACCCTACAAGCAACTATATGTTGTTAACAAGTCATGCCTTAAACTTTCTGCCAAGTATTTTGGTCCCTACAAGATAATAGCTAGGGTGGGTCTTGTAGCTTATAAGCTGGAATGACCCCCACAACTCGTACCCATCTTATGTTTCACATTTTTCAGCTGAAAAAGAATGTTGGTAAGGTACCTACACAGTTTTCACTTCCCTTACTTGATGCTGATGGTATATTAGCCAAAGAATCGATCGCTATTGTGGATAGACGTATGAATAAAAAAAAAAAAAAGTAAGCTGGTGAAAGAGGTATTAGTGCAATGGAGTAATTGCTTTCCAGAAAATGCAAACTGGAAGGCTTTGTTTGGGTCGCAGAAAAAATTTCCCACTTTTAATCCTTAAGTACAAGGATTTCTTAAGAGGGTGCTATGTTACAAGCCAGAATGAAAAGGTGTTGATGGACTAGTGTTTTTCGTAGGCGAAAAGTATATATCCAATCCAGTAAAGTCTTAGTAATTTGAATATTAGTTATATTTATTAATAACGTGAGTATATATCCAATCCAGTAAAGTCTTAGTATTTTGAATATTAGTTATATTACAGACCAGGTTTAGTAAGAGAAATTAGTTATGCTGAGTCAATTGTTGTTGGAGAAATATAAAGATGAGAGTGTTGGATGTTAACGATCATTCATTTTTTATTGATGAAATACCAAAACTTCCTTCCTCATTCTATCTACTCTTCTCTTACTCTTATTTGATTTTGACAATTTTTCTTCACTAAACAATCAGTTTGCATCAATCCCTTCAGGTTTAATTTTTCAAAAAGGATAATTATCCCTTTAACTTTTTTTTTTTTGGTTAATTTTGAAACCAAAATGGTTTAATCTTTCCCTCATCCTTTTCCTCTTATCAATTTGTGTTCTTATTTGAATTTAAAAATATCAATCTTAGCCATACGTATGAAAAACCCAATTGTTTACCCCAATGTGAATGAAAATGAATATTAAATTTTGAAAATGAAAATAAAAATAATTATAATTTTAAATTTTTTTATCAATTAAGAAAACATAGACAAAGTAATATAACATCTTACTCATATCCGTACACATGCCTTATATATTTAATAAATAAATTTTTATTAAATAATATAAATTTTATTTTAGATTAATTAAAATTAATATATTTTTATTTAAAAATATATATTTATAAAAAATTACATAAATGTATAAAATTAAAATTAAAAAAATTAATTTTTACTTTTTAAAAGAAACTATGAATATGATCTATATATATATATATATATATATATATATAATATAAAATACCCACGAAGATGAGATGAAAATAAATTTAAAATATTTTTGGATATGAATACGCGATAGATATAATATAAAAATGTGAGAATGATAATAGTGACTCCTTCAACTGCCTTGTACCCTATTCATTTTCATCCATTTTTTAATTCTAATCCCTCTTTCTCTATTAGTGTCACACATACATACATGTGTCCATATACGCGCGCGATATATATATATATATATATATATATCATTTTTTTTTAACAAGATTGACTTTAAAATAACCTTATCCCAAGATTGCATGCTGTCAACGAATATTTTCACGCTTCAACTCCAGTGAATGAAAGTTACATCGTTACTCTTCTGTATGTACTACATCACTCTGTTCAATGGGATTCTTTTGCTCTGCTGAGCAACCCTTTCTTCAGGAGAAATTACTTGTGGCATTGTCATACCTCCGGAAACAATGATCTCTGCACATATAAAACAATGAAAATACATAGTTAAAGATTGTCTGTCTGAGGAGCAAGACTGACATTCACAGATTGTCCATGATTGGTGGACTTAAAGAAAAATGAAGCTTGACTACAACTGTACAAGACTACCAAGTTGTTTAAACAATGTCATGCGCTAAATTACAGTTACAACATACTATTACTAGATGCCATGTACACTGCCAAAAATCTAAAACCTATACTCTTCTTCCTTTTTTCCCCCCAATCAAGTGGATTCTTTTTCCCATAATTCAATTAAGCCTCATCTCAACCATATGGGTCAACTATACAAATCCTTTTCTATAGTTAAGCTCTTTCTGACATGTCCAAAGACAACAATAATAAGAAGAATCTTTGTTGGAAGATATAAACAGCATTCTTATTTAACTTTCTGTTAACAGCATTTTTTTATTAAAAATAGAGAAAGAGCCAGGATAACAAGGTAAGGAATTGCTCAGAAAATTAGAAAAAAAATACCTATGCCTTCTCGGATGGAGAGATTTGGCCTTGTGATCTCTTTGGAGTTCACCAGGAAGATATCACCAATGTATAGATGGTTTGTTGGGACATAAACACTGCATAGCTCTTCATCTTCGTTTTCTCTCTACAATACACAGTCAACAAGCAGAACCACTAAAGGACTTGCTGGGAAAAAGCAAAAATTCCTGAAAGGGGCATTCAGCTATTATATGCCTCAAAAACTATAACCAAGAGATGCAGTGTTCATTCAACTGGAATCTCATAAAATAAGTGGCATATTGTAATCATCCAAGTACAGTTAGGAAAACCATCCATTAAATGGACATTAAGTGTCTTCCATGATTTCCACCAACTGCGTCACATAGCAAACTAAATTGTCAGCCGTCAAGATACAAAGGGATGAAACATCTTCACTGGGGCTAGCAAATTATTAAATTGCAGGTTGTGCTGGAATTAATTAGTAATCACAATAAGGCAAGATTTTTATATTTTTAAGTGATTGAACACACACCCCAACCCACCCATCCATAAAAACACACAAACCCTCCCATACACCTGCACACACACAGACTGAATAAATTCTACCCATAAGAAATTGAGGTTCACAGTCTCTCTCACCATGATGGTGGCTCTGCTCTTCCACCTTACACAAAGGTTGCCTTTCGAAAATATGAGGATGTCCATGAGTCTATCCACACATTTCATTAAAGACAATCACAGTGTTAAGTTTATAAATCACGATACCTATTGGTCATAAAATGAAGTACATTTTATACATACAACTGTAAAGATTTTGGATTGACAATAAAGGTTTAAGGTCTTCCAAGTATGATAAATGTCAAACAATGTGGCTGCACTTTGATAAAACAAAAGTTCTTCCGCCGAAGAGGTCTGTGCTTCATTTGTTGAAGTAAGGACAAATGGTCTGATTCGAGATTTACTAAGAATCGACTTAGTGAAATCTCATATTTTTTATATCAGAAAAAGAAATGATCCGTCAGGTTCAGGATGGATTTCGGATAATAGGTCAGATCGTACCAATAAAAATAAAAATCCGTTTTATTCCATTTATTACAACGCAAGGATTCAACAATCATTTAGCCAAAATCACGGAACTATTCATACGCTCTTGAACAGAAATAAGGAATCCCAATCTTTGATAATTTTGTCATCATCTAATTGTTTTCGCATGGGTCCATTCAACAATGTAAAATCTCATATGACCAAATAGGACACTTGTCAACCTATTGTATTCTAAGAATATCCAAAGAAAGTGAACAAGGTTTACACTTTCAAGTTTCAAATTTGTTATTAAAGATTAGAAGCTGTCTTCACGGAGATAGATATCTTTCAGAATCCTAGGACATAAAATACAAACCTCCTTCTTAAAGGATCATTTAGAAAAATAAGCAAGCCATCACATAGATTGCCTTTGTCTCAATTTCAAGAACCAGCTAGAGAAAATGATATCATCAACTAACGTGATGAGGCAAATCTCTTTCCAATAGAGAATTACATAACCTAAGAGAACATAAAAAGCACCTAGTGGATAGGTCCAATAGACCTTTCCATGCCAATTTGTTTCGCAAAGCATATGAAGTCTTCTTTACCCTAAGAAAACTATTAATCAAAATTTTTTTCTTGTTAAATCAATTAGACAGCCATATAAGAGGCAACTTTACATTTTAAAAGCCCCTTGAATAATCCAAGATCACATGGGAAGCTTAAATAGATACATGGAAAAGCAGCATATATTGGCAAAACAAGAGATAAAATATTAAAAATAGTACCTGAAGGATGATAGTGGATGTGATAAAGCCAAATGCATATTCACCAACACGTGGGTGACGAATGATAGCCACCTCCTTAAATGCTGTCGTATTTTGATCTACAGGAATGGGGATAATATCAATGTATGTTTCAAGCAAAGTATCTAGTTGCCCAGCTTTTAAATGATATAACCATATTGTAAATGCTTCTTTGAAGGATAAGAATGGAGTATGGACCCTTGAACTACAAAACGCAGAAGCAGTATGAATATAATCACAAAATGTAAGACAGGAATAACTATAAATCAAATTCAGTCACTCATATATACAGCAGCTACCAAAATCTCTCTAAAATCCCTTGGATAACTAATTCAACATTTAACACAACAGGAAAAAGTGTCAATCTTTAAATTATAAATCCTCAAACATCATACATGCTGTAACAACAAATTATGGGTGCATTCTAAAATCCAAAAGCTCTTCTAAGAAAATTATAAACAGTATATTAACACAGGGGACTACTTCCATGCCAATAAAGCAGTGGAAGTACTCATGCAGATGCAAATCATCTATTATTGTAATTAATTAGGTGTAACCTGGAGATATAGCAGCACTTATTTGTTTCAAGGCTGAGTATATATGCCTAACAAAGGGCATTCGCTTAATAACCCATTCTCCCACTGAGAAAACAGCAGCTCCCATCCATGATGAAACAAAAACACCAATAAAAAGGACAAAAAGCAGAGATGTGATAAATCCCAGTCCTGTAAATAGTAATTACAGCTCAGACAACCATTGCTCAAGGCACAAAAATCAGTAAAGAGATCTGCATAAAATGAAAGAATGAGGAGAAAGAGAAGTTTTTCTTTGATGAAGCAGTATGTTTTGACATGTACCAAATAATAAACATTCCACATTGATTATAAAATTACAAACTAAAAAATTAGACAAATCATAAATGTTCTGATGATACTTCGAAAAAGGAAAAAAGATGTTACTTTTAAAACCCTCAGGCTGCTACTTCTAGCAGCAATGTTAATAACTGTGGAGATAAAAACCTTGATAGTGATCTTGAGTTCTATCCTTCCTCTTTATAGAACTTTATATGATTATCTGCTGATATCTTTTTTTTTTCTTTTTTGCAACAAACATATATATTGAATTATGAAGAAATTTTGGGATTTAACGACAATGAAGCATGGTTACCTAGTGATAATAGGAGACAAGCACTTGTAAACTTATTAATACTTGAAGACTCGACAAACATTGAAGCCATGAGTAATACAGTTGAAGTTACCAAATATGTCAATGCCAAGTCGTTCATATAATGGACTGAAGAAACTGTCAACAAACTGAATAAACCACCATGTAATGAAAAATGTAACTGCTACAGGAAAAAGGACCACACTGCAATTTTTTGCATGTCAACAAATTGTTACTTAATATATCACAAGAAACAATGGAGGACTGAGAACATTTTGGGAGATATCAAAGCTCAATACCATCCAGTCATGAACTTTTTTGAGACCCAACTCTGGAGAACAAAATAACAAGCCTGAAGAATCATTGAAACATAAATTTCAGACAAAAATAAAATTGAATTTATTTCTTTCATTATCAACACAAAAGTATGATTCTAAAAATTGCTTACATCGCTTCCATTCTTTCTAAGACTTCATTGAAACTAGCACATAATTATTCTTTTTTATTAGGTTCAAACATAAATTTTAAAACTAATAAAGTAGTCAAACTCTGAATCTTTTGTACTAATGTCTTGAAAATTAGAGTGCTTGAATTTCCATATAAATTATTTCAACATTAGAAAATGCACAAATTGAATAGAGATTATGTCACCAATAAACCCTGAACTATAGAGAAATGTTTAATGTAATACTTGAACTTTAAAAATCTCTAATGTGTTATTAGGAAGGTTGTTTTATCACACACATATTATCGCTTGGAGCTAACCACATTAGGGGTGAGTTTACATTAGTTAACAGATTTATAACTCATGTACCACATTAAAAATTTTTGAAGTTCAGGTATCACATTGAACATTTCAATACAGTTCAGAGGTTATTTGTGACATTAACCCAATTAGATAAGCGCAAATTATTATCTTGGAAGCACTCCATTATATAGGTCATTCAAATTCTTAGAATGCGTTTGGACAAAGAATTTTAAAATTTCGAAGAAATTTGAATAAAAGCATTTTAAAATGCATCATTTCAAAATGCTAGCATTTATAATTATTTTGTTTGGATAAATATTTCTTCAAAAGAAATTTAGTTTATTAGAATTTGATGAGATAAAAAATAATTATGGAAAAAAATAATGATATTAAACTTAAAAAATATATATGTATAAATAAAATATGCAATATGGGCACATTAGATTTGTAAAAATATATAAATATTATTAATAATATAAAAATAACAATATATATTAGAGTTAAATAAAGTGATGTTTTTATTATTATTTTTAGTTCTGTATTTCATGATGGACCACGTGCAGTAAAGAGAGGGAGAGTTTAGAGGAATTTTGAAAGAAACACCTATTTAGGTGGAATTTCAAAAGGGAATTTAAGCACCTCAAACTCCCTCTTGAAATTCCATTTAAAATTTGAAATTCTCTATTATTTTTAGTCAAACAAGTAAATTCATTTTTGGACTTTTGAAAATCTTGATTGAAATGAAATCGCTCCTCCAAATTCCCCATTTAAACACACCCTTAGTACTTTGCTCAATCATTCAAATTCCAATCTGCAAACATTTATCCTAAGCACTTTCATCCTCCTAATATACTGTTGTTAATTAGTTTCCATATTCAAAGACACTAAAAACATTACCAGAGCATCAAGATTTCCCCTTGTTTAAACAGGACTCAAACCGCGGAGACAATTAAAAACAACAATTCTTCTGGATATAACTTGGAACTCAACCAGTTCATAGCAATTAAACACACTGAATAAGAAATTATGATTTGTTTAATAAAAAAAAGAGATTATGACAAACTTTAAGTGGTATTTGACTATTTTCACTTCCTACAATTTTCGAAGCTTCAATTACGATTGCATTTGGGTTAATAATTTTAACAGGAAGTCCAAGAACAAAGATCTGAAAACTCGGTGGCGAGAGATCGATAGTTTTGGGAAGTCCAAGGCTAAATTTAAAAGCGCATAATGCAAAAAAAAAAAAAAAGAGGGGGGTAAAAAGGGGAAATGGACCTTGCGAGTCGAGGAATTGGGGGAGCTGGGTGGAGACTTAACCGGATCTTCCGGATCGACACCCCCATTTTCGGCTTGGCTGAGTGGAATCGACGTTGATTCTTTCTCTTCCGCCATCGCCCTTTCCTCTTCACTTTTTCTTGTCAGTGAGAGAACAAATCTGAACTGAGACTCCGGACAGAGCTGTTGGACGTTAGGATGTGAGAGAAAATAAAGGGATTTTGATTTTTTTTTTTTTTTTTAGAATGTTAGTACTTAGTAGTTTAATTTAATTTAGAAGCTTTGGACAATAATTACTATTTTTAGCTTCCAAATTTGAGTTGGAAACCATGTGACCTTCCCTTATGCCCTTAGCTCAAACGGGGTTCATTCGGAAATTCAAACCCTCCGATAAAAAGAAGCCCGAGATTCACTCTATCTAAATCCAAATTTTCTCACCAAATAAAAATTGTTTAAAATAAAAATAAAAGTTCAAATGGTCGAAATAAAAACTCACCTAAATTCGCATGGACTCCTCAAAACAACTAAACTCGAAATGTAAAGCTGCATAGAAATTAAATCGGATTTATAAATGGCTTTAAACTTGAACAATGCCCACCACCATCAAAGTGTATATAGCTAGCAGGTGATGTGCTTTTTAGTCCTAGGCTTCTCTGGTTGCTTGTTGAATCAGCCATTTGCCAAGAAGAAATATCATTGGCTTTGGCCCAAACATTCGAACCATAAATTATCTCTTCTATAAATGTATTTTTTTTTTTTTAAAGATTGAGTTGAATTATGAGTTTTGACCTATTGCAAACTTTAGACCTTCCAACGTGCGGGTTATCTGCTCAGCCGACGGATCTTGCTTGACTTCTAAGAGGAAAAGTCCGAAAAAACTACAAAATCCATCTTCAGGGTTTGGGATAATCTTATTTTATTGCAGAACCAAGTATGTTTAATAATATTGCTGGTCAACTCTGCAAAGCGCCGCATGAAGCATATTGTTTTTCTTTTAGCCTTTAGGTGATTTCTACGCTGATAGAATTGTAAATTATTAAATTCATGTCATTTGTGATAGATGCATCCATAAAGCTCTCGAATAAAATGTTCTAAGAAATAGTTTAACGATTAGAATTTAAGATTTTATTTTGAAAATTTAGAATTTAAATGTTAACATAATATAAATTAAATTAAATTTGTAAATCTAATATCATATGAATGAAATGAAATTTGTAAGATAAAAGAATAATTTTTTAGTGTGTAATTTAGTATTACTTATGTTGAAAGAAATAACATTTTTCATATTATATTGGTGAAAAAATGCATTCAAATTGGTGACAAGTGACGTAGGCAGATATGTGAATGGGTAGAGTATAGAAAGAATAGAGTGTTTTTCATTCTTATTTTTAGATTTTTATTTTATATACAACTTTATATTCATATCTAATTAATATTTTAAATTTATTTTTATTTTCATTTTCACGAATATTTAATGAATATAAGTAATTTTTATACCCATATCTTTTAAAAAAATAAAAATTATTTTTTTATTTTTTATATATTTAGATAATTTTTATAAATATTTTTTATTTTTTTAATAAAAATATATTAATTTAATTAATCTAAAATAATAATTTATATTATTTAATAAAAAATCTATTTAATAAATATATATAAATATATAAGATATGGGTACAAGATTGGTACTATATTATTTGTCCCTATTCATGTACCCAATAAAAATATTAAATCATATACATCTCAATTCTTATATTCATAATGTAATATTCATCATTATCTCAATTCAAATAAAAAGTTAAATTCTTTATTGAGTATATGAAAAATTAACATCCTTAACGCAAAAGGGATTATAGTCCAAGCAAACATGTTATATCACTATCAGGTTCACGCGTATTGACTTAGCATGCCCATCTTAATTATTATATTCATAATATAATACTTATCATCATTTTTATTTAAATAAAAAGTCCAATTCTCTATTAAGAATGTGAAAAATTGACATCCCTATAACAAAGGGAATAATCGTCCAAGCATACATATTATATCACCAACATATTTACACACAATGACTTAGCATACAAATTATATCGTTATCACACTTATGCGCATTTATCACGGGTCGAGACTTAAGTTTCGAACTCATGCGGCTCCGAGACCCGGACATTCATCCATTCGACGTCCCAAATTAACCTTCTTGCCACGGTTCACACCCTTATGAGGTATTTTCCGTTTTAGCCCCCTGACCTCACGGTTTTGTCCTACAAAAGACGCCTCACAAGGCAGAGATTGTGTGAACCCTTTTATACCCCAGTGACCTTCCTATTATGTTCAATATGAGATTCAGGACTCTCCCTTAGGTCCGTGACATTCTCCCTCACCAAATCTCGTGACGCCTTCGTCACGAAGGCCGGCCACCCTGCCTACCTCCCTCGAGGTGCTTAACGTGGATCGAACGATTTAAGGCTGGCTCTGATACTACTTGTCTCGGGTCAAAACTTAAGCTCCGAACCCGCGCGGCCGGGACCTGGGCATTCACCCATCCGATGTCCCAAATCAGCCTTCTTACCACAGTTCACATCCTTGTGAGGTATTATCCATTTTGGTCTCCTTGCCTCACGGTTTTATCTTACAAAAGGCGCCTCACAAAGCGGAGATGGTGTGAACCCTTTTATACCCCAGTGACCCTCCTATTATGTTTGATGTGGGATTCAGGACTCCCCCTTGAGTCCGTGACACATTGACTTAGCACCACAATGGTGAAAAGGCAAAGAACGTGGAAAGCATTGAGGAGCCAAAACCAAAAGACTATTGTCTTGATAAAATAATTAACAATTTAAAATATAATATCATAATATGATATAAAAAAATTTAAAAATAATATGATTTAAAATTTCAGTAATAATTATATATAAATTTAACAAAATTAAAAATATATATTTTATATTTTCGTGTTCGCATAAATTGTAACACATAATTTTTATATAAAAAATAATACAAATACATAAATTTTAGTATTTTTCACAATACAAATATATAAATAATTACGTCTAATTATATTCACACATGTACAAACGTATTTATTAAGAAAAAAATATAAATTCCAAATATTTTATCCTACTTTTTTGAAAATATAAATTTTAAAGAAAATAAAAAAATACAAATTTACATCCATATTAATGGATTTAGAATTTTTTCTTGAGAGTGTGCACTTATAACATATAAAAAAATTATAAATAAAAATTTGAAATAATATATTATTATATTATTACAATTATCCATGATAAGTTTTCATATCTTAAAAAAAATGCATAATTGTATCATTATTAATATTATCAAAATTTTGGATGGTTAGAGAAAAATTTTAGGAATGTCTAAGAGAAAATGGACCTTTAAATTTCTTATTTTCTAATTTTAGGTAGTATTTGATATGGGATGATCGCTCTAAAACTCATAGTAATCTACACATAATAATCAAATTACTGTGCTTGGTAAGCACTTGGTGATCCTACATAGTAGTGATCATGAATTAATGAGAGTGATCAGATCATTATCTTGAAAGATGATATATTTCTCATACAAAATGATGAGAAACTTTTATTACCGAAGTGAAGTAATATATAAAATTAACGATAATCAATTTTACCAATTTAATATATGAATTAAAATTCTATTGTATCTTAAAATTATAATTATTTTATATTATAAATTTTTATATTTTCAAACTAATTCATTATAACAAGTTCAAAATAATTTGTATATATATTTAATATTTTATATATAATATAATCTTTTATTTTTCTTTTATTATGAACTTAATATATTGGTTTTTTTTTAATTTAAATATTTTTTTCATAATTTATATTATAAAAATAAATTTATCAATCAATAAATATATTTATTAATTTAATAAATTTATTATAACATAAATAAATATCACTAATATTTTATAAATTATTATCTTTAAACAACTATAAAATTATTAATTTATATAACTATTATAATTTGCATGGTTATTTTTATATTTTTAAACAAAATAATGTTTGATTTTTAAAAATAACAAACACAATAATTTTTAAATTTTAAAAATTAATCGTTATTAATCAAATAATAAAATTTCAAATCACAAATGTTAAGATCATCTTAATAATAAGATTATTTCGATAATTACATTACCATAGTAATTTTACAAAAAATATCAAACACTACCTCAGGGTATCTATTTGATAACTTGCATCCGCATTTATTTATTTTCTTTCTATTTTATGTTGTTCTCTTACTAAATAATATGAGTGTAAATGAATCAAACATGCATGAATTTTTTATTCGTTTAATTAATGAACATTAAAATATTATTTGTAATTATTTATTAAGATTAATAAAAAATAAATAAAAGTATATTTCAAATACTCTATTTCTTTTTCTTTCTTTGGTTAGAATAATCTATTAATTTACATTATCAGAAATAAATAAACTAAATATAAATAAATTTTGTTATATTTGTAATTTTTTTATTAAATTATTAAAATATTATTTGTGATCATTTATTAAGTAACCTAATAAACAAATAAAAATTGAATCTATTCACAAATTATTCATTGAATATTTTTCCGCTTACACCTCTATTGAACAAAATAAATAAATAAAATAGTATTTTCTTCCACTCATATTCTGTTTCTAACTTCCGTCTTTTTGTTTAACAAAAATTGCATAAGTCTTTGTAAAATTCCATTTTTAAGTTAGAAACCATTAGAACGAGAAGAAATTCTAATCAATTCATTATAGTTGAAATTTAGTAATAATTTGTTAAAAACAAAACCCATGTTCTTCCTCAGGTGATTAACTCAATCATTCGACAAAGTGATTGTGTTCACTAAAATATTAACCAAAAAAATGTAACCTTTAGTTCTTGATTCTTCTTCTTCTTCCTTCGCGCACAAGGAAAAGTATTTTTCTTTTTTGGAGCCATTGTCCGAGTCAACTTAAAATTTAGTTGAGCAGTAGCATCGATCTCATGTCATCTTATGGGTATCCTAGGATGTGACGTGCATGCTGGGAAATTGGACATGCATGCCGAAAGATTTAATTTCGTTTCACATTTAATAGTTTTAAATATGATTATCTAATATAAAAATTATACAAAAAAATACAAAAATGATGTGAGTTAAAATTTTCATGTTAATAGAAATCTTTGTTGCCTCTATTTAGCTGCTTTTTCGTAATTATAATGTCATCGATGGTTATTAAATTATAATGAAATACTCAATTAATTTAGTATTTAAATTTTAAAAATTTTTAATAAATTCATGACATTAACCATTTTTATATAAAAAAATTTCTTTGAAAAGGAATTGTTTCATTCAATTCATATGAAAATTCATGTAATTTGGAGAACATAATGGGAGATATTCAAGTTTCCATGAAAACAACTCTCCAACTTTTTATCCTTTTTTTTTTGGTTTCACAAAAGTTTAAAAATCTAAATTTGTTTATAAAATCTAAAATTTTCTGAAAATTCTGAAATTTTAAAAATATGAAGATTGAAAAATAAAAAAGATATGGAAATTTTAAAAAAAATCACAAAATTAAAAAATATTAAATAAATAAAAAATTAATAAAAACATGACAAAATCTTAAAATTCCAAATATTAGATTTTTTTTATATGTTCATATTTTATATTTCCAAGAAATTAAACGAAATCTAGAAAATTTCCTAAACTTCCAAATATTAAAGAAAATCTAAAAAAATCTTTAAATTCCAAAACATTAAAATGTTAACATTCAAAATTTTTATATTTTAATATTTTGGGATTTTTAAAATTTTTTATATTTTCTAATTTAAAAAAAAAATTTCACTCTTTAAATTTTTTGGACTTTATTTCAAAATTTTTTTATTTTTAAAAAATAATTTTTTGATTTTTTGAGTTTTTGTGAATTTTGTTTTTCAATTTTAAGAAAATTTATTTTTTATTAAAATTTTCATTTTTTATTTTTTGGATTTTTGTTAAAATTTTAGAATTTTTATTTTTTAATTTTTCATAAAATTGTTTAATTTTTTTTATATTTTTGGAATGTTTGAGAGTTTTTGAATGTTTTTAATTTTTATAAAATTTTAGATTTTTTTATTTTTAAAAAACTAGATTTTTTTTTAAATTTGAAATTTTTTTTGAATTTTTTAAATTTAAGAAAATTTTTATTAAATAGTTTTTTTTTAATATTTTTGAAATTTACAAAATTTGTTTCATTTTGCATGGATTTTTATTAAATTTTTATTATTATTTTTTGGAAATTTTGGACTTTTTATTAAAATTTTAATATTTTTTAATTTTAATTTTTGATAAATTTTAAATGTTTTAGCTTTTTTAAATTTTTTTAATTTTTCAAAAGCTTTAAAATTTTTTTAAATTTAAAATTTCTAAAAATTTCAAAATTAAATTAGTTTTTTTTTTCATTTCTAGATTTTTTAAGATTTTATGAAATTTTTAAATTTTTTATTAAAGTTTTGATTATTTTAAATTTTTCATAATTCTTTTGAATTTTCTTATTTTTTGAATATTTTAAAATTTTCCTAATTTTAAAAAATTTTTATTTTGTTTTTTAAGGATTTCAATTTTTTTTTAATTTTAAACATTTTTAATTTGATTTTAATTTTTAAATATTTTTTTAATACTTCTTTTAATACTAATGTATAATTGATGATGTGGCACTGATTAGATTTTTTTATATACATATCAACATCTTATTGTATGTTTATATCTTATAAGTAAGTTGATTGATTGGATTAACTTATGATATCAAAGTGGATAATAAAATTAAAGTTAAAATATTAAACCGAAAATTTTATCTTTTTAAATATTAAAATGATAGAAGGTATATAATACAAAATCAAATTAATGTTTAAGCCAAATAATAAATTAATTAAACTAAACTAGATTAAGAAAAAAAACCCTGCGGGCAAACCGGCCTGGACGGTTTCGGATATGTCCATTCACATAAAGTAGAAAAATATTTTGACTTTTGCACTACCTCTCCTTTAAATCCCAATTTTCTCACTATCACTCATTTTCCTTCATTTAACAAAAATCTAATTAAATGTTAACAACCTTAAATAAATCAATTAACAGAAGCTGCTTTCAAATTTAAGCAACATGTTGTGGCAAGTGTCCGACCACATTGCCTATTTAAATATCTTTTGTTTATGTCTTTGATGTCTTGATTTAGTGAAAAACGTCTTAAGAAGACATGAGGTTGGGATCGAACCCAGCCTTTTTTTTTTATTGTAGGACTTTGTTCCCTTGAAATAAAAAAAAAAAAGGAAATTATTTATTTAGTTTTTTTGATGAACTAAAAAGATAGAAACTTTGGTTTTGTAAGAGATTTTTGCACTATAATTAGTTTTAGAATTTAGATAATAATTTTTTCACGCGAAGATAATTAAAAAAGTGGCGAATAAGAAAGTGAGAGTCGTTGAGAATAGCAGGGGAGGTGTCGTCGACCAAGGCAACCAATGGTTGTTGATGTATCAACCGATGATGATGAGAGTAGAAGGGTCGTCATCGATGCTATCTGAGGTTAGTAGGAAAAGGGAGATATCAGCTATGGTTTCAGCTTTGACTCATGTCGTAGCTGGCGATGTGCCTGATCAGGAACTGCCAGGAAATGAAAACTTGGATGGTTTTGGTTCAAGTATTGGTGATAACAATATTACTTCTTCATGGGGATTTGGTGGGCAAAAGAGAGGAAGGGAAGAAGATGAAGGTGGCGATGGCGGTGGAGGAGGGATGGCGGTAGAGTCTGTTACTAAACTTTGTACGCAGTTTGGTAACTTCCCACAAGGAGGAGAAGGCTCATCTTCTGCTGGTCTCTATTTGTTTTTCTTTTTACAATCTTATCTATGCTAGATTAGTAGATTAACAATAAACAACACTTGCAAAGCGTATCATATAGTTTTCTTACCTTTTTTTTTTTTTTTTAATGTTGTTTCTCCATAAATGAAAGATTTCTTTTTTCTTTTGGTTGAATCATTTTTTTCCTCATTTGATGTCATTATTCTTAAACTCTACTCACCCTTTTGTTCTCTTTTATTGAAGTCCTCATTTTGTTTATTGATATTAACTTTGTAGATAGTTCTGTTTAACACTCCTCACTTGATGATTATTGCTCTTACTTCCCCTGCATTTTTTGGTATTATTGATATAAAAAAGTTGAATAAATAGCTATAAATCCATAATCTAAATCCAATTTGTTACAATATTTGTACCATCTAAATGCAGTGACAGAGGCAAACACCCCAGCACAATTGGTTCCAACATATGAATACAAGCGCAATGAGAACTACAGAGAAGAGCTAGGGAGAAGATACAGGGGAGTGAGACAGAGGCCATGGGGCAAGTGGGCAGCAGAGATAAGAGACCCTTTCAAAGCTGCTAGAGTTTGGTTAGGCACCTTCGACACAGCTGAGGCTGCCGCTACAGCCTACGACGAAGCAGCCCTTCGCTTCAGAGGCAACAAAGCCAAGCTTAACTTCCCTGAAAACGTCAAACTCAGATCACCTCCTTCCAATCCAACAACAACCCAGTTGCCCATTTCCTATTCTCCCAACACCCTTTTATCCATTCCAACAGCCATCGAGCCAATCGTTCCCTCTCAATCTCATTACTCGGTCCAAAACCCTCAAGTTTGCGGATACCCTGACTATTCTCGTTTTTCTTTGGGCTTCAGCAGTGATTTTCCAAGACAACGGCAAAAGCAGCTGAAGCAATCCATGAACCCATACGACCAAATAGTTTTTTCAACTTCAGTAGGTTCTCATGCACAATCTCCTTCCTTGTCTTCTTCGTCATCTTCTTCTTCACCACCGATTTCTTATCCTCTTCTTTTCCCGATTCAAGCGCCGGGTCATCACCTCAACTTGGGTAGCAGTCAAGGTAGCGCTATTGGAGATTCTCCGGTGCATGCTTGGTCAGATTCTAGTCATTATACATCAATCTCCAGATAGTGTCTTTCTTTTACAATAATTTTTTGGCTTTTTGGTCGTTGTATGCCCTTGTTACAACGATTATGATTATCGTTTTTAGTAGGGGTAGTATTATTCATTTTGAGGGGTTCCATTTTCAACAATAAATCTTATTTTGTACTAATTATTTTAGGAATTAGGACTTATTATTATTTTTTTTTCCTTTCATGAATGTATCTGTATAAATAAAAATTATAATCAAATTTTACATGGATAATATTTTAATAAAATAATAATAATAATGAAGAGATGATGAAGTTATACAAGAACAAGATGTTTGACGTTTCAACTCCATTAAAACGACTTGGATTACGTAGAGGGGCATTAAAAGGTTCAGAACTTGTTTTTCTAACGTTTCACATGCGTCTAACAAAATAGTAGATACTAGATATGTTATAACTATGTAAAAGATTATTTTTTAGTGTACGGAAGAGAAGTGAAACCCAACAACCTATTACAGTCAGAGTCCTTGCGCATTTTAGTTAGATAAGTCAGAAGGACCATTTCTTCGTTAAAACACAACAACATAAAATGGTACGATTCTTTCTCAATAGTTGCCATTGCTATTGCTGTCCTTCGCTGTGCTATTTTCATTAAGTTTTCTGATGTGACTATTGACCTGGATGATGTTGGCATTTGTGGTAATGGTTTTGAAGTGCTGACGAGTTTAAAAATAAAAATGAAAAAAATAAAATCGTCACTAATAATTTTTAATTAAATGTGATAATTATCTATTAAAATATATTTTTAATAAAATTTATTAAAAATAATTTTAGAATATACAAAATAATTTAAGTTCAGAAGTTAATTGCACGTAAAGAAAGATTAACATTTTTATAGTGTTCATTTAAAACAGTATCAATTAAATATATATTATCATTTGATTTTGATCAAAATAGTATTTGAAAATAATTTCGTTGATTTTCTTATTTATCAAAATTTTGGTTTCCTATTATTATTATTCTTTATTTTTTGTTATTTCATTTTATTAGAAAAAAATTAAATTGAAATCTTTTTATTGAAATAATTTTTAAAATTATTTCAATACGTTGGTAACAATAAAATAATTTTTTTTCACTTAGAGATTTCTTAGGTATCATTTTTCAGAATACTTTAAAATCTCATCATCGGATGCTGGAATTTATTTTTCGTAAAAACCTATGTTTTGCATGCAATGTAAATGATAATATGTTGATGCACATACTTTATTTTCTTCTTTAAAAATTTTATTGATTTTTCTATTTAAATTTTTTAGGAAAAGAAAAGTTTTTATCATATTGAAGTTTTCTATAAATACTTCAATACACTGATAATATTTTAAAAAAAAAATTTTTACTTAGGGATTTCGTAAAGTATCATTATTTGGAATACTTTTAGAATCTCATAATCGAATAAAAATTTTTTTCCTCATTTTTTTATCGTTTTATTTTTAACAAATTAGTTTATTTTTGTTTTTTATTTTATAGTAAAAAAAGTAAAATTTTTATTGTATTGAAAATTTTTTATAAATACTATGATATACTGGTAATATTTTTAAAAAAATTTTCACCTAAAAAATTTTGCAAATATTACTACTTAAAGTACCTTTGAATCTCATTGTAGGATAAAATTTTTCTTCTCTTATAATTTTAATTATTTTAATTATTATTCATTTTTTGTTATTTTTTCTATTTTTAAAAAATTTATCAAAGGTTGAAAACCATTTATTATTATTATTATTATTATTATTATTATTAATGGCATTTAACCATTAATCATTTATTATTATTATTATTTTATAAGGTTTATTTTAAAATTAACAAAATTGTAAAAAGTTTAACTATATATTTCATTATTTATTTTTATTTATTTATTTATTATTATAAAATCAACAAAAAATTATTCTAGCAAATTTAAATATTTTAATATGTATAAATATTAATAATAAAATTTAAAATAATAAAAATAATACTTTAAAAAATAATTTAAAAAATAAAAAAAATTTTACCTGAACTAGACTAATTAACGTTAGTTTGATCGGATTGGTTAAGGGTGGTTCAGTTAAACCAGTTGAGCTGAAGGAAGAGCCTTGTCAGGTCAAGTGAATGGACCCTGAGTAGGGTCGCGAGTCTACGTGTTGATCATAGGGCTTAAAATGATATCGTTTTGGATTTTTTCTATATAATCCAATTTTTTTTTAATTCATTTAAACCTCTCTTAAAAAAGAAACTTTTTTTCTCTAATTAAACCAGGAGGATAAGTCAATTTCCAAAAGCTAATCACGGACAATCGCATTAATCGTCGCTTGTTTACCATCGACAATCGTCGACCACCATGTCGGTTGCCAGAAAAGCCCAAACTCACCTATAAACTCTTCTCGCCTCTCTTTTTTTAGGTCTAGCCTTTCTTTCACCAAACAGAGTCTCAAACAGCTTAAATTGACCTTCAAAGTTTCAAACAAACCTTTTTTTCTTTTTTTTGGCTTGTTTTTTTTCTATTTTTTGTATTTTTTATGGTGTTTGTAAACACCGTTTTGTATTTATTTTTTTATTTTTCTTTCTTTCTTTTTATTTTTATTTATTTTTTTAAATTTAGCTCGACAAGAATCTGAATGCATTAAATGCACTCTTTTCGAAAGTCCAAAATCATGGCCACTGCCACCACCAGTAGCTGCTTTATACACTACCTAACTTGACAGCGTGAATTTTGGGTTAAAAATATGATATTTGAATCTAAAAAAATCTGAGATTTGAATCCCGAAAAGCTCTATAATATAGCTTTTTACTTGTAAAAAGGGGAAGGGGGATAGATTAAAAAAATCTAGAAGGGCTTGTAAAAAAAAAAGAAAAGTGTGAAAAAATGAGAGTATATTGAAAACTTGTGTATTGAATCATACAAACACCATAGATTTAAATACAACTAACTAGAGAGTAAACTAAGAAACTAAATATTCCTAAATCTAATCCCTATAATCAAGGAATTATCTATCCTGATATTCTGTCCTTAATTCTAGAGATACAAATTCTCAATTTTAGGGATACAGATATATACAGATTACAATTAGTAGATTACAAAATACAACCACTTGTAACTAAATGTTTTCTCACACTCACCCTCAAGCTGGTGAATAGGTGTTTTTCATTCCCAGCTTCGAAATAATTTCCTAAAATGCTGCACTGTTTTGAGCCTTTAATCAACACATCTGCAAGTTGACCCTTGGTTAATACATATGGGGTGCAAATCAATTCACTGTCTAGCTTTTCCTTTATGAAGTACCGATCTACTTCAATGTGTTTTGTTCTGTCATGTTGTATAGGATTATGTGCAATACTTATTGCAAATTTATTATCACAGTAAAGTCTCATTGGTCTATCCCATTTGATCTTTAAATCTTCTAGAATAATCTTTAACCATAGTAGTTCACAAATTCCTTGAGCCATTGCCCTAAACTCTGCTTCAGCACTTGATCTTGCCAATTCTATTTTTTACTCCTCCAAGTTACAAGATTACCACCTAGAAAAGTACAGTAGCCTGAGGTAAATCTTCTGTTAGTTACTGAACTTGCATAATCAGTATCTGTATATGCCTCTAGTACCAACCTTGAATTTTTTTTAAACAAGATACCTCTCTCAAGATTAGCCTTCAAATAGTATAGTACACGGTAGACAGCCTGTAAGTGTACTTCTTTAGGGCTATGCATAAATTGACTTATCACGCTCACAGCATATGCTATGTCAGGTCTAGTATGTGAGAGATAAATAAATCTTCCAACTAATCTCTGGTACATCTTCCTATCTATAGCAGCATCTTCATTAGCTTCTCTAAGCTTATGATTAGGATCTATAGGGGTACTTACAGGTTTACATGCGAGCTTCTCAATTTCTTTCAAAAGATCCATCATATATTTCTGTTGTAAGATAAAAATACCATGACGTGAGTGGGCTACTTCAATTCCTAGGAAGTACTTCAATCTTCCTAGCTCTTTTATCTCGAATTCTCTAGCCAAACACTGTTTTAGAAACTCTCTTTCTTTTTCATCATCTTTAGTTACAATTATATCATCAACATATACTAATAGAATTGTGACCTTACCCGAATCTGAGTGCTTGATAAACAGTGTATGATCCCTTTGACTCTGTTTATATTTTATTTCTAGCATCATTTTGGCAAATCTCCCGAACCAGGGCCTAGGAGATTGTTTAAGGCCATATAAAGCCTTTTTTAGCTTGTATACTTTTTGTGCTTCTAGATGACCCCCAAATCTCGGTGAAACTTTCATATATATTTCTTCTTCCAAATCATCATGTAAAAAGGCATTCTTTACATCAAATTGTTGAAGCTGTCAATTGTAATTTACCATCAAGGATAATAAAATCTTAACTGTATTCATCTTGGCAACTGGAGCAAAAGTTTCCTGATAATCCACTCCATAAGTTTGACTGTAGCCCTTAGCCACCAGCCTGGCCTTGTATCTTTTAATAGTACCATCTACCTTATACTTTACAGTGAAAACTCATTTACACACAATTGGATGTTTTCCTGCAGGTAACTCTACCAGTTCCCATGTCTTATTTTTTTTTAAGGCCTCCATTTTTGTTTTCATCGCCTGCTTTCATTTCTCATTGGATAATGCCTCAGATAATGTAGTTGGAATAAAAATAGTGTCTAGGCTCACAAGAAAATTTTTATGGGATGGTGAAAACTTTTCAAATGACACAAAATTAAAGATTGGGTATAATGGATGTTTAGTACATTCTCTAGTTCCTTTCCTAATGGCAATAGGTAGATCATAATCACTAATTTTAAGAGAGTCATGCTCATTTTGAGAAATAGAATAAGAGACTGTAATTATCTCATTTTCAGAGTTAGGATCAGGTTCTTGGATTTGCACCGATTTAGGAGCTGGAACTTTCTTTCTTGAGTACACCTGTAATTCTTTCACAGAATCAAGAATAGTATTATCTTTAGTCACAACTTCTGTGTTTGGAATGGGTTCAAATTTAGAATCAGTGTTTGACTTGGACTTTGAAGAAATGGGTT